AGCGGTACTGACAGATCAGTACTGTATGAAAATAAATAAAAGTAAAACAAAAATACTGGTATGCAACGGAAGAAAAAGTAGGGAACGAGTGAATATAAAGATAGGAGACGAAAAATTAGAAGAAGTGGCTGATTTTAGGTATCTAGGAAGTCAGATAAGTCAGGACGGAAGGAGTGGTAGGGCTATAAAGCAGGGTCGTGTCGCCTTTAATAAAATGAAGTCACTTCTATGCTCGCGAACGGTTAATTTAGAAATTCGAAAAAGATTGTTAAAGGTGTATGTTTGGAGCACGGTGTTGTGTCTTTGAAAAAACAAATAATAATAAGATTGCACTAAAAACGAGACCAGTATACATTATTTTTACAATGCAACGTCTCTATATTTTTGCACGTCATCAGTTGATGTATTACTTAAAGAATTTTTGCTCGTCAGTTTGTCCATTTTTTTCTTGTATATTAAAAAGTCTGGCCCATCCAAGGGTCCGTAGTATATGGGCACGTCACAATCGGGAAGGGGTTGAGCGTAGAACCCTGTTCGGTGTCTAATGATATGGTGATTGCGATTTATATCATTCAGGGCGTCCATCGACGCATATTTTTTTAATACATCCACTGACATGTTGCACTTGGCTAACATCCGGGGGTTGTATGTGCTGTACGTGTTGTAAGTTGGCATGATAACACTATTCGTTTCAAGGGTTGATGACATCCACGGTTGCCACTGTTGTTTCAGGTTTTCTTTTATGGGTATCTCATCTACTGTTGGGAAATCTATTAATGATTGAGCCTTTTTGACTATAAAAAAACAGACAATGTGTTTAATATTTTTGTTTTGGTTAATACACTTAAGTTTAAAACGGGACTCTAATGGTAGCTTCACTCTCCCCTCTCACCACTCCGTTACTTAACACATGCATTGTAATTTAATTAACAAAAAAGGGTTTTTAGTTTCTTTCAATATACCTCCCAATTAGTGTTATTTATAGACAGTCCCAAAGTAATTACTTCATTTATATTAAAATATGAAATAATATAAAATTTTTATTGGGATAATTTGGAAGGGGTTGCGACCTTTAGAGTCCGCTGATTTGCTGTTAAATTGTTAAAAGTAATAATTATTGTTACTTTGTTTGTCACTGTGGACCATTTGAGACGGGCTAAAGGTACTGGCATTGAACTCGCTTTCCGAAAGACCATATTGGTACATAAAGGCGTTGTTTAGAAGATTTCCATTCCAAATTTGTGGATTTGACATTGACCTATAATATAAAATATTCATGTGATATATGTATTCCGAAAATTTTTTGCGATTTCTTTTTGGCTAATTATTTTACTTTTTAATTTTCGATTTTCCTTGATGAGTAATGATGATACACAATGTAAAATAGGTACTTTACGATATAATTAATAAAAATACAATATAGGAGGATATAAAGCTAGTACCTTTTGATACCACTGCCAATTCGATCCATCGATCCATCAAAACCGTTGTTATGATAAGCAACAGTTCCTAAAGTACTTAAATTAAGACTAGAATCTCGTGGGAGGGGAACGACCGTTGAATGGAGATCTCTCAAGCGCTTGTTTATTAGTTCCTCTTGTTTCCATGTGGAATAAAGGGACTGCACCAATATAAACTCAACCACGTTGCTGATTATCCTTGCAAACCAGCACGTAAGCTCAGTCAGGCCATAAAGTGAACCAACCCTCTAATATTAAAAAATAGTATTCAAAAGTGTACGGATACGATTGATGCTGTCCTGATTCGGTTCTAAAGTTGCTTCCAAACGTTTCGCCAGCACGGCGACTTCTTCAAAGGTCCTTCCATCTTCGATGTTGGGAGCAGCAACTCCAACCTATGACGACCTTTAGACTCGAATCAGGACAACAGTATAATATGAAAACGGTTAATTATCCTTGAAACATATTATCAGAAAAAAATAACAATCGTAAAGTGGTTTTAGGTTTTTTTCGGATTTTGTGTTTTAAAATGATTTATTAAACCCAAAAAGGGTAAATTTTTGAACCCCCTCTCGTCTGCCCATTAACGATAAGGTGAATTAAATAAAGTAATTTGTGTGTACTAAATGTTGATCGTTGCAACAAAATTAAAAAATGGCCATTTGTATTAATTTCCAAGATCTCAATTATGATTATAAAAAAAAATATTTTACGTTTAATTAAGATAATTTGTTGAATTGTGTATAAAAACCTGAAGATATTTTCATGTATGCAGTAGTTTTACATATTTTTAATTACTTTTCCCTGTTTTCTCTTCCCTGAATATGTTCAGGTAATAACTAAATAATACCAAAACAAAAAAAGAATGCGGAATATACTTTTTGTAGCTTTGTACTCTTGTACTTTTGTTATTGGCGTAGGTACTTTTTCTCCTATTATTTGATTTCTTTTAACTCGTCGTTAAGAAAAAAAAAAATTTAGTCTTACTTTCGTAAGTGAGTATTTATCAATTTCAGTATAAAAGGAGATTCGTCTCTTTCATAAATGAATGAATTTTTATTGGTCATTTGCCAGAGAAAGTGTTGTTACTCGTAAACTTGCTGAGTTCATAAAAAAATGATAAACAACTGTGTTGTTATCTGCAACCTTGTTTGATCAGATTCGAATGGAGTAAAACCAGTAGAGAAATGTGCTGTTTGTTCAACAGAGTTGTGATTTAAGGTTTAATAAGTTATAATTTACATAGCTACTAATTGACTTATATTCGTGTTTATAAATGTGATGGACACAGTTTTTGGCGATGCATAAGGCGAAATGGAAAACAATAGTAAAAGGGTGAGTTTTTAATTTTAATACTTATACTATTTAAACTTTATATTCAGCAGTGATCATTTTGATTATGCAGTTTCAGCGTTGAATTTTATTTGTTTTTACAAGATTATACCATAGTGATCATTCTATTATTTGTATGTACATTGGAGATAAGCTAAGTTGCATTGAAGTTTTTTAATAATAAAAATATCGAACGTTTAACGTGATTCATGAAATTACCGGATTCAGAAATGATCGTACAAACTTTTATTTTCATCTGTTAGTATGCATTATGTAATTCTAAAACTCATCTTTTTACTTATAAATATCAAAAATAACTATTTCATTTTTGAATGGAAATTTTAATATTGATTATCACATTATAAATTATTATAATTAATTTTTTTCTTCATAATCTGAACG